TTATGATGTCAACACTGTAGTCATGTTGACAGCTATTCAATTTTTATGAAAAGTTTAAAAGTTTAACAAAAAAAAAACAAAAAACAAAAAAGAGAGGAAATTATTTTTCTTGTTATTTTTGTCTCCACCTCTCTGTTTAACTCTTTTCTTCATAAAATCTTTTTATATAACATGGTGTGCATAGACATATCGCATAGGTATAAGTGTTCATAGGCTACCGGATTTAATTAAAACCGAATATATTCTCTATAATTTTCATACTATTTGAAATGTAGTCCTCTATGTATAGGTGAGCATGTATTTTGAGAAAATACCGAATTTTTTTTATACTGAATTTTTAATGATTTTAAATACTATTATAATCTATTCAGAATAGACAAATTTTTATGAAAGAAAGTCATTCTAAATCAATTTCAACCTATAAATAAAAATTACCGCCTCTACTCTTTCAAAATCTTTTAATATAGTTTTAGTTTTCAAAATGGGAAGGTAATGTAATGGGATTTTACAATACTCTTGGAAATACTCTTAGAAAGGTTAAAAAATATTTTATAAAGACCTTCCAAATTATATGTAAAATGGTCTTAAATTTTCTATTTCTTTTAAATCTTTTCAATTGAAATGAAATACGGAACACGATGTGAGAAACAATAATGTAAATTATATCTTAGTATGAGGACAATTTTGAGCCTTTAGGTCACGAAAAGCAGACATAATTTTTGCGTTAAATTATGCAAAATATTACACTTTTGTAATAAATAAAGAATATTTTTTTTATATAACTGCAGTACAGATGAATAATACGAAAGAAATGAGTTAAGTCAGAAAAATTTGTGGAAACTCTATTAACTGAGCTACGAAAATCTGAAGAAATTCGCAGCAATTTGTTTTCCACATTGTTTTGTAGAGTAATTCATTTTTGAGTTGAAATTTCTTTTCATTAGTTTTGATCTATAATAAATTAACACTATTCTACAATATTTACAAAATTTTGGAATTTAAAAAATTCAGTTGTTACAGCTTTCAAGCATTTTTAGAAATTCCAACAATAAAAAATTTTAATTTTGTAGCTTTTTAAATATTAATTTCTTTATTTATTTCGTATATCAAATTCAATTTAATATTTTCAATGTTAATCTTAACATCCGAAAGGATCAAAAAGGATTTACTGCATATCCGATTTCTTATTAATATCATTTTGAATTATTTATGCAATAAATAATATGATAAAAATCGAATGGTTCTCGTGTTATACAAGAAAATTTTTTATTTCGAAAAAGATTTTATTTTGTTAAATTTTACAAATCCTTTATTTTTCAACTGAAAACATCTGGTTAGCTTCCTTATAATAATAATATTATTTTATTATCAATATATTTTATAATTTATATTTTATAATACTATAAGAAATATAACCATGTTAGTATATTTGTGCACAAAATAATAAAAAATAAAATTTCCATTTTTTTTTTTTACGAAAAAAAAAAATTGAAAGAGTTTATTTTTGCCTTTTAAAAGATTTTAAAATGGAAATCCCCTCAATTTCTGTATATTTTCTAAACTTGTTTTAGAATATTATCATATAGCACAATAAAGAATTTTTATATTATATTTATACGTATGTATGTATGTATCATATTATATAAGTATGATAAACTGATGTTTATATGTGCTATAAGATGACATTTTGAACAATTGGTTTTATTTTGTTGTTTTTTCCCCTTTCTAATGTCTTATACATACATTTACATATAAACTAATATAATATGTCTATATATATATGAATATGTGATTTGTATATCATTATTTTTAATAATGGTGGAATTAATAGGATTTGTTCTTTTCGACTTATCAGGCTTATCGCTTTCATTACATTTCACATCATTCAAAATTATAACAAATTTTTAATGTAAAATCTTTTTATTTTCTTTAATATTATTTACTTATGTATATAACATATATGTTATATATACATATATATATATGTGATATATATATTGAATATTTTAATAAAATTTTTATTTCTTATTTAAGATTTAATTTTTGAGGAGCAAAAAAATAATTTTTTTTATATTTTATTTTATTTTATTATCGTATATAACAGAATTTATATGGGAATTATTGTAGTATGAGAACATAAGTGTGTTTGTGTATATGATTATGTCTTTTCAAAAAAATATAAGTATGTATAGAAATATTCGTTGTTCAGAAATTAACTAAATTACTTCTCGACAATAGTGTACACACCATTGTGCAGTTATAATACTTTTAAAAATATTTGAGGAAAATTTACAGATTCTGGTTACAGACCGCGGTAGGAGAAATCCCGGTCTTTAAGTTCAATTTAAGTTTTTGTTATACATAATTATTTTTGTTCTCAATTTAGAAAAATTAGGTAATTTGAAAGTATTTGCAGTTTTAGAAAGCAGCGCCATACATAGAAATTTTTTCCCCATATCATATAAATACAATGTACAAGTAATATTCTTCAAATTCATTGCTAAAATATAAGATATAGTACTACAAAACATATCTGTTATAAGCATATCTGTTATAATATTTTATGAATAGTTACGAATGATATTCATAATCTCAGCCCCCACTCCTATATACCTACACGTATGCTATTTGTAATAATATAATTTACATTACTACAGAATAAAATATTGTGACAATATTTGTTTTACTTTTTAATTTCAAATACTTAAAAGTATTTAAAACTTTAATAGTTATAATACCTTTAATAGTTTATTCAATTTAAAAATAGGATTACTTTTTGATCTTGTCTCTTTTTCCCTTTTTTTATTTTTAAAAGAAAAAGATGTGAAAATAGGGGCTTTAAAATTGTTATCAACTTATAACATAAGTGGTATTTTCTAAAGTGTTATACACTTATATTTAATATTAAATAATTATTGTGGTGTTTAATATGAAATAGGAATAACTGGTTTTAGGTTAATCATTTAAGATTTAATAAAAATTTTTATGTAAAATTAAAAATTAAACTATTTTAAAAAAAAAGTAAAAGGCATTGAACGATTTAATTTTTTATTAATTTTCCTTTTCAATATTGTAAACTCTTTCTTTGTGCATTGTGCCTTTGTAAAATTATAAAATTTTTCACAATATAAACGGAAAATTAAAATATTAAATTAAAATTATTTTTATTGTACAGAACTTTATCGGAAATTATTAAAACTTTGAAATTGAATCTTTATAATTTTTAATTGTGTGTTCATTTCTTATAACTTAAGTTGTTGTCCTTGTTAATTAAGATTTTAATGATTTCTGATGAATTACCAACTATCTGACATTGTAATTTATTTATGAAGATAATTTTTAAAAAAAATCTTAAATTAATTTTTATATCAAATAATCAGGTTTACTTGACAACACTCTATTAAATAACTTTTGTTTATAAGTACAAAATAAATTAATTTATTGGGGATATTTTGTTCCAATAATGCAGCAATACCTTCTTTAACTAACTAATTATATTCTGTTAATATTTGAGCCTGACCATTGGTGCAGTTGTTATGGCACCGGCCCTTTAATCGAAGGGTCTCGGGTTAAAACCCTGGTCAGGTCACTATAAAAAATATATTCAATATTATATAATAAAATATATTCAATATTATATAATTGAAATATGCATTTCAATAAATATATTATACAAGTAATTTTCAAATATTCATAATATTCGATACTAAAGACTAAGAAAAATAAACAGTAAACATTAATAAAACCTGAAATATTTAATATAAATAAAAAGTACGGCAGGCTAGTCACCTACCTAGCTAACTCTCTATGATTATAGAAACTAGGGCATGATAGATATCATGCATTAGCCCTATGCTCCTCCTAGGAGTGAAGAAGGAAAAAAAAATATTTGAGCCTGAACTATAAATTTTTTTTTAGAGCGTATAATATCATATATATTTGTATTGGAGTTATTTGTAAGAAAATTAATTACGTTATGGCAAAATCTACTTATTGTTAACTCTTGCGTGAGCTAAGCTCTAACATTTTTGATAGCTGTTAAAATTTAATATTTAATATACGTCATATAAGTTTAACAACATTTTGAAAAAGTTTTATTTACGGCAGAACTGTCATATTTCTTTTCATTAAGAATGTTATCTTTGAATATCAACAATATTATTGTTAATATAATAGTTTGATTGTTAATATAACAACTTTATTGTTAATATAACAGTTTTATTTGTTAATATAACAATTTTTGTAATATAACAGTTTTATTGTTAATATAACAGTTTTGTTATCAATATAACAGTTTTATTATTAATATAACAATTTTATTGTTGATCTTAAAAAAGGAACAGAAAGTAAAATTTTTTGCAATTTTTTTTTTTAGAGTTTTAAAAAATTATAACAAAGAGTGAAATAAAATATTGCACACTAAAAATATTTTTTCTAAAATACAATATGAATTTTGTATAAAAAATTACCAAACTCTATATATTAAGAGTGACTGATACAGTGACACTCAAAAATCTTAAAACAATATTCTGTTTTTTTTTTCTAAATAAAAGTTTTCAAATTATTAAAAGCCGAACCAAAAGCGGAAAAATAAACAAATAATCAAAGAAAAATCAAATCACAAACTTAATTATGAATAAAAATTATGAAAAATTTCAAACCTCAATTATTAAATTAAATGTAAATCAAAATTAGCTACTGTGATTAATTTGCAGTTGCTGCTGGTGCCAAAAAGAAAAAAAAAAACAAAAATTAATTTAAATTGTATATGGATTTGATTCATCGTTTTTATAATCACAAAAATTATTATAATCGACAAAACAATCAATATCAATATAACAATATTGTCGTCATTATTAATGAAATTTTAACAATAATCAAATGTTATTGTAATAATTATTATGGCAGCATATTTATGAAAGAGCAACGGTAGCAACTGCAAATAAAAAAAACTAAACATTTAATATAAAAGAGAAAATATTTAAAATTTAATTAAAATACAAAAAATTAAGTATCAATGATAAGCTACACAAGTAATTTAATTAATACAAAATAATTATTCAACTTAATGACAATTTATTTTAAAAAATAAGAATTAAATAAAAATTTACTCTTATTCACCACAAAAAAAAGGTGGATTCTGATTCACCACAAAATGTATTGCACAAAAACTGATTTAATACATAATTAAGAACATGAACAAAAAAAAAAATGGAAAACAAAAAAATTGAATAATTAATTGTTATATTGCAAAAAATATATCAAATTTTAAAGAAAAAAATTATTGAAATAAAAACACATAAAATCATTATTCAGTAACATCAAAATAATTAAAATAATAAGAAAGGGTGCTTAAATATTCATGAACGGCAGTGATAATAGTAGCACTTTTAATAAAACTGGTACAAATAATCAACCGCCCACATTAATCGATGATACCAATGATAATTCTAATATTATAACTGAATACTATGATAGTAATGTACAATTAGTAACAACAACAGCAATAAATACAATATCTACATCATCAATTGCAATTCCTGATCCAACAACAACAACAACAACAGTAAAAAATAATAGTGAAAATATAATATATACAAGTTGTATAACAACAGCTACTGCCACCGGTAGTTATAGTTATATTTCTACAATAACTGGTTGTGGTAATTTTAATATTGATAATAATAAAATAAAAAATAATAATTCTGATATTATTTCAATTAATATTGTTGATAATAATAATAGTAGTAGTAATTTTGGTGGCGGTAATAGTGACGTTGTTGTTGTTAATACAAGCAGTAGTAGTAGTAGTAGTAGTAATAAAATAAAAGAAAATCTTATTAATATTAATGTAACAGAAGGTGCTTCTACTATAATATCTGGTACTACTGCTGCTACTATTACAGGTGGTACTATAACTTTATGTCATCGTTTTCAAACACAATCAAGTACGACGAGTGATTTACAGCAATCGACTAGCGCCACTGTTGATACAGTGGCGACTAGTTCTGGTGGTTTAATTTTAAATTCACGTCAAGGTTCAGTTGATGGTGCAATGCAAAGATGCGGTCTATGCTCAATATTATCAAGATTACTTAGACGTGCAATGTGTGTTGGTTCAAGACGTGGTAGCGGTGAATCATATTATCAGGAATTACCTGAAACAGTTGTAAGTAATTTTCTGAAATTTTTAAAAATAATTAATCGTAATAATAATAATTTTGAAAATAATAAAATAAATAATTTTCAAAATGTCTGATTGAAGTCATTTAAATTTTTTAAATAAATGAACTTTAATTTTAATTTAATTGAAGTGGTTAGAATGAAAAAATTTTTTTTGAAGAGTTTTCATAATATTTAATATTTATTTATTTTAAAATAAATTCTACATTCTACCAGACTGAAGTGCTCTTTAAATTTTTTTTTCAAATATAATTTAATTCTATTTTTATAATTTGTTTATTATTTATATTTACTATTATAATAAACAGATTTATTATTTTGCACTTACATTTTATAATTATTGTTAAGTGGTGTTGATTAGATATTAAAAATGTGGAGCACATGTGTTCTACACTATAAATGACTGATAATAAAAGTTTTTAAGTTTCAATTTTTTTTTTCTTTGATTTTATATTTAAAGCTTATTCTTATTACTTATTATTAAGGGTAATATGTGGTGTATATACAGTGGTGAATATTAATTAAAGGTCAGATGAAATTTTACAATTTTGAATTCAAACCTCTTTTATAATAATTTTTGTTGAAAAACAAGATAATTAAATAATTTAAGACAATTACCTTTGAGCATTTTTAAAGAGATTTCAATAATAAATTGGTAGAGCTTTTAAATTTTCGAGAAATATGCATAAAATTCTAATCACTAATATAAGAATTTAAATAATATCCCTTTCTACTTTTAAAGCTAGAGAAACATCAACAAATTAGACATAGTTTCAAGAGAGAACACGGGTAAGAATAAAATATGAGTACAAAACGGGAAAAAAAAGTAAGATTAACCCTGTTATTCCTGCGATATTATTTCCAGTAAGAGCTACATAATGACGCGTAATGAAAGCTTTATATATGTATTAAAATACAATGCCTCACACGCCCCACTGTTCTACCTGTTTGTGTTAAATTTGAAGTCTAAATAGACTCTGATTGTAATTTAATTAGTTTTGAAGGAAATTGTGACCTAACACAGCTCACTAGTAATGGGATTTTATAATGGAGTTTTATTCGGTCAGTTTTATAATTCCCGATCTATAATCGCTAAGAAGCTCTAATATTTAACGTTTGGGAATATAAAATTCAATTACGTTTTAAGTTTTAACATATCCTGGGGTATGTTTAAATTATCAATTGTTATTATAACTTAAATAATCAATAAATCAGTTCCATGTGGCTCGGCTCTTTATGACCAAATGCATTCACATTTATAAAATTTGAATATTGTATAACCTATACTGCTCCCGAAATATTATTAACTTTAACGATTTCTTCCAAAATTCTTATTGTAAAATTAAAATATTTTTTGAGATTTCAAAAATAATTTCATATTCACTTGAAATTTCAATATTATATACTTTAAATTTAATTAACATTTTTCATTAATTCTTGCGTACTTATAGTGTGCTTAACCTTTTTTTATAATAAGATTTAATAATTAGGTTATATTTAAATTGGAATTTAATTTTATCTATTGCTCATGATTAAAATAATTCTAGTATTCCTTTTTACCTATTGTTCTTAATTAATTATACAGATTGCGTGTTAAGTACAATAAGTATAAAATTCTTTAAATATAAAAATTAAATTAAATGTTAAGGGTAAAAATACTTAAACAATTAAAATAGCTATTTTTAATTAATAAAATAAAATATTTTATTCGAGATTTCAATAAATTAATTATTAAAAAATATTCTTGTGTTAAGTAAGGCCTATTTTTAATTTATATCCAGACAATTGAGCAAAAATTCATTGGCATATTATTGTCATGGTCTATTAATAATATTAATGGTAATACACTGATTAGGTCCACTATCATTGCAAATATGTCCAAGCAAATGTGATGTTTCGTTGATTCATTATTCAGAATAGCGCAGAATTCCGGATAATAAAATGAAATTTACGAAATAATCATGGTTTTCGTTTTATACATTCGAAAATGTTTAAAATTCTTGTATCTACATTCATGAAGGTACTTAAAAATAATTTAAAAATTCCAAGTATTTTAAAAAATTTGGGCGAATAAATGCCGCTACATCAATCCTATTATCATGGTTCTGATATTTTTTTGAATTTAAAATTTTGTCCCCTGTTTTGTAAGGACAATAACATAGGAAATCGAAAATGAGTACCTATGAAATATTTTATGCAGTCATTTTTAAAAAATTTCAAATATAGAAAATCTAAACCTTTAAATTTTTTATAATTTATTTATTATGTTGTGTCATTTTTAGCACTTTTCCAAAAAATTTTTTGAAAAAAGTGCTTATTAGTTTCACTCTGTCCGTCCGTCCGTCCGTCCGTCCGTCCGTCCGTCCGTCCGTCCGTGGACACTTTTTTTGTTTACAAAACTTCTACACCCTTGAAGATAGAAAGCTGAAGTTTTATATGTACATAGATCTTTACTAGAAACTTACTTCCGTAGAACAAAATTTTTACCTATCTCCCCCCCTCTAGAAGTTATACCCCCCCAAAACCTTAAAAATGGCCTTTTTTAACTATTTGTTGCAATGAAACCATAAGCATTTTTGAAATTTTGCAAACGCAGAAAGGCAGCGGCTTGCTTTCCCTAGCGCGGTATACTACAGTTAAACTTTAGAAAAACAAAATGGCCGCTCAAATTTACCGTTATCTAAAGTCCTTTTTTTCCAAATTTTTGATGTCGTTTTTCTTCTAGATCCCAGCTTGTAGAAGCTTGAAATTTTAGAGACTTTTAGACATTAACAAATAGTTCATTTCGTTAGAAGAAAATTTTTTTCCATCTCCACCCCCTCTCAAGTTATCGCCCCTTGAAATTTGTAAAATTTGAATTTTTGACACCTTATATTTCCGAAATCGCACGTTTTTTCAAATTTCTATAAACGCAAAAAGCTAACGGTAAATTCCATGATATTAAAAAATATAATTATTTTCCTTAACTCACACAATTAACCCTTAAAATCGAGCATTATGTTAAGCCCTTTTTATATTAATTTTTGCTTTATTTCAAAGACTGCATAAATCGTTCATCCTAAAAATATGCAATCCCAGAAAGAGTTTTGTATATGAATGAAAATAATTTTAATAGTGTGATAGGTTTACATAGACTGTATTTAAAAGCAGAATTTTCACTTGTTGAAGGGAAAAGTGCTACAATACAAACCATTGGTTTGACCCAACTTTATTGATTTTAATCTCAAAATAAATACCAGAAATTAATGAATTCTATTAGAATTTTTGGTCTATGTTCTAAATTTTCTTAGTTCGTTCTAGTTTTTAGTTTTTATTTTAATTTCTTTAAAGAAAAAATATCATTGTTTGTTCCAAAACTCACAAAAATTTTGTAAAATAAAATAAAATTTGTTAAATCATTGTACTTTTATTAATAATATTCCCTACTTTCCTAAACAATGAGTTCTTGGTACTATGTGAATATAAATTGTAGATGAGGTAATCTTCTTATGGAGTCAGCGAATATAGAGTTTTTTTTTCCTAATCTCGGATAAATTCTCGGATACATTTAAAATAATAATATTAAATCACAAAATTGATTTAAAATTATTATTTTAAATGAAGATTAAATTTTTAGTCAACTTTACAATATTAAATAACAAATTATAAATTTTCAAAATTATGAATTAATTCAAATAAAATTATGACAGGTCTAAATTTAAACAAGATATGGTTTTGATTAGACTAACATGGTTATTGTAAGATACCCTTAAGCCAAAAAGACACGTTGTTACGCTACTGGATACTTATTTTCCCACAGATAAACACTAGCTCCAGCTTTTAAAAAATTTTACTTTTTCTAACATTTCTGCTCACAACACCAACAATTCGCAAATATAAATTTACAATAGAATTTACTGTAAAAGATGATTGCTTAGGATTCGTCAACTTTTTTATGCAGATTAAGAAAATTGCATTTCACGAATTCATTTATATCTTAAAAATTATTTACTGAAATATACAAAAATAATTAAAATTTTAAGAAAAAAATTTTTAGTTAAATAATAACTTTGCAATTAAAAACTATGCACTACTCAATTTCTAACTTCAATTTTACCAAAAATAAACAATTTTTTTTTTTTAATTTGATTGACTAGGACTCATTGTTGGTAATTTTGAAATTTGAGAAATAAATATTATCTAGACATCCTAATTTCTAAGAATATTTTTGACATTGAGTGTGTTCCGATTCTGTCTTACAAATTTTTTTAATATTTTTGTTTGTCATTTTCATTTTGGATATTTTGATATCATTTTCGTTCCCATATCCTGTAAACACATTGTATTATACTCTGTATACAAACATGTGTTCACATATAAATTTTAATTTCTAAAAAGAAAATATCATCAGGAATTTTTTCATAAATAAGGACCAGAAAAAAGCAATCTTAAAATTCCTTACAGAAACTCTCCCATATATATTTTTGTACACAATATGAGTTGCTATCATTCATCTTTTGATTAAAAAAATAAAAAAAAAACATTTTCAAGTCAATGCACATCGGATCCATTTCATGTTTCTAGTTCCTATTTTCGTTTTGTCTTCTCTTTCTTCTATATTTCGTCTTGCTACTTCTTTTTTTTTTCTTATTTAGTGTAAAAATTTATGCGTATGTATAAGTGACTTCGATAATTTTCATTTTTTATTTTATCTGGACTTTTAGAATCAATCACTCTATATATGTTTGTATGTACATAAACACAATTTGTTGTTAATGGTAAAAAATGAAAATGATTGTTAGGCCTACAGGACTTATTTGAATTTACAAATAATTTGTTTATGTTTTTATGGTACTTTTTTGTTTTGTATATATATGTGTATGTTAACATACAATAAATTGTGTATAGAATAAAATACAATGTTTAGTATGAAAAATGTTTTTGATGGTATCCCTGGGATATTAATTGAAAATATTAAAGAAATAAATGTAAAAATATAATGGAAGA